CCTTGAACTTTTCCATCCAGACTTGGTGGAGGATTGTTCTTTCCTCTCTGGTTTGAGGCGGTAAGAAGATTAACTGGAGCCCTGACTGGAGGCTGTCTGCCTGTGTTCCCAGATATCAAAAATGTAAGCAAGGGCTGGGTGATACTGGAGTACTTGGATATAGCTGTCCCTGAGCCAAGAACTACTCTTTCCACCTTCTGGTTGGTTTCTGTCCCAGTGGAAAGACCTCTGACTTACACATAGCCCCTGTGAGATTGCAAGAGAGCTTCAGTGTAATGTGCTTTGTGAGCCCAGTCAATTGTAGCTATTGATGTTGCTGTGGTTACTAAACTATCCACCCTGTGCCCAGCATCGTACAGCTCTGCCTTCAGCTCCCACCTCAATCAGGGTCTCTTTATCCCCCTGGCCTACCTGGTTGGGAATCTTAAGACAACGGACGACTCCTTCCTTTCCTTCTATTCTAATTCGGCCATTCCCAGCTCCTCCCGCCTAGTTGTCCCAGACAGACAGCTCTGAGATCCGCCCTTCCTCTTTATTCGGCCTGGCACAGCCTCTAGTCGAAGCCATTCATTCAGGTAATCCTACCAGCCGTAACTGACACCCTGTTACAGGTCAGGTATCTGTTTGGCACTGTGGGCATGCCCGTGAGCAGAACACACCTGGTTTCCTCCGCCCCAGCCCTCTGTAAACATCTACCCGATTAGCCTTTCTCTGGCACCACTCTTGGCGAAGCTCTGACACACTGGCCTGCGAGCTGCAAAACCAGCAGGTGGAACCCCCAGCAGCAGCGGGAGAAAGATGGCCTTTCTACTCCCGCAAAGAGTTACACCCAAACCAAGCCAAACGCACTGCCCTCGAGTCCATGCCGATTGGGAGCCCCCCTATAGGACAGGGCAGATTGGCTTATTTAGTCAGGAACGTCTGCCTCGAGCACTGTGCACTTTTAAAGCACCATCGTCTTGTAACAGGATGGCCTCTGTGAACAGGAGACCAGTTGACCATGTCCTCATCCACTGCCGTCGAGTCTGACTCATCGTGACCCTCTACGGGTTCTGGGCCAGTACTCCCTTACAGGGTGGGGGCCGAGGCGGACAGCATCATTGTTCTCGTCAGGCTGGTGGGGTTGAACCTCCGACCTTGCGGTTAGCAGCCCCATGCCTAACCTACTGCCCCAAGATTAGCACCTCCAAGAAGAGTCTGTAGGAAGCTTAGCGGGGAGAGAGTTGATGCCATGGAGGAAGGCACAAGCGGCTGAGACTGGTTGGACTGCTTGGCAAGGGGAAGCCGTGTCACCGAGGTGAATGCTGAGCCATTGCCGAGCCCGGGTACATTCTGCTGTGCTTGCTCTCAACAGCCACCACGACATAAAATTGCTTTTCAAGTTCTCCATAATCTGCTTCCAAAGCACCAGCGTGAAGATGATGATGATATTGAGAATCAGAATGGAGCGGTAGTACAGAAGCCGCCACCGTGTGGGACATCCTTACAGTGGGTTTGATTAGCTCTGTCGGAGCCTCACACCAGGGGCGAGATGTGGCTTTTGACAGTCCATGACTGAGACAGCACAGCCACCAGTCAATCAGAGGGACCCTGGCTGTCACCCCCAGCCGAGGGTCTCACCAGGGATGCCAGCCCTATTCACAGCCAGCTGAGAAGCAGGCATTCCGATCCCTGGCTTCCAAGTGTGTATGCTGAGACTCAGGAGGGAGAAAGGTCTCCATCAGGGGCCACCGCTGAGAAAGAGCAGCACCTGGACTCAAACCCAGGAGCCTCTTAGCCCAGAGACTTCACTTGTCCTCTTGGAGCTCCCTGAATACTCCACACACACACCCCCACCCCCACCCCATTCAATCCTTCCTGCCATTCCAGCAGATCCCACTTCCTCACTCGCTCATGCCACAAGTCTTGGCTGGCGCTCCCTCCTGGGGCTGAGCTAGATGAGGGGACCTCCATGGGGGCAGAAAATCTGCCATCAAGCCAGTTCTGACTCTCAGACACTTGGTGAGTTGGGGAGCAGAAGTGCCCCATTGTATTCTGAAACAGACTGCCAGACCTTGTCTTCGGTGGCATCCACGGGTGGGTCTGAACCACCAACCTTTACGTTAGTAGCTAAGAGCAAATGGTGTCACCCAGGGCCATGTGTCCTCACTGTGCTTCCCCAGCACCTGGCCCGTCACGGCTGGGCCCATAGCTGCTGAGCCAATATTTGTGGAGTGAATGAATCAATGTGAGGATGGCCAGACCTGAACCTCATCCAAAGGAATTCACACTCTAACAGGGCTTGCCCAAGAGTGGAGATTAGTCATCTTTTTCGGGGGTTTGAAACAACAACAACACAACAGCCCAGAGCATTCTAGCATGCAGCAGTGTGGCTTTGGAAGGGCGATGAAACCATCTGCCTGCCTGAAACAAGCCTGGGGGGCAGCCCCCCAGTGCAGGAGATGCTGCCCCTCAACCTGCTGGGTCTCAACCGGTGGTCCTCCTCCTCTGCCTCTCCAAAGGGGCTCACTCTTCAAGGCCCAACTCCACCCGTCAACAATGACTGAGCACCTACGCTGTGCCAAGGAGTGCCAGGGTGGTGCAGGTGGTTAATGTGCTTGCTCGTTAACCAAAAGGTTGGCAGTGCCAGCTCCCCCCGAGGTCCCAGAAAGGAAGGCCTTGTGATCCACTTCAGACAAACAAGCCACGAAATACCCAATGGAGCTCAGCTCTGCTCTGCCACACACGGGGCCACTGTGAATCAGAACGAACTCCGTGGCAACTGGTCATGCTCCTATGGGCCAGCCAGCTGCTCTGTCATTGCAGAAGGCCAGGTGTACAAAGATCCAAGATGCAGTCTTTGCCCTCTGGAACCCGAGGGCCGGTCAGGGAGACAGATATGTAAATGGACAGAGGCAAGGCCACGAGGTCAGCCTGGGTCCTGGAGACACGCCCAGGGCCCTTCTCTGGACACCATCGGGTGGGCAGTGGGGATGTTTGAAAGGATCATTGGTTGCGCTCATGTTCAAGGCCCTGTCGCTGTGGGTTGTGTTGTAGTAGTTGCAGCATTGCTTGTGGTGGTGGTTAATAATTAACACCTGTGATGTTAATGTTGGACCCCAACTTGGCTAGGCCATGGTCCCCAGTATTGTGTGGTTCCTCCATTCTCTGATCTGATGTAAGTGTCCTCCATCTCATGTGCAGTGAACCCTAACCTCTATATAGCGGGGGCAGCATTAGGGTTGTATCCTGAGTGGCAGCTGTGCAAGAGGGTGTGCCTCAAGTTCCACTCTGATGTGAGGGGCATTTCCTTGGATGCCTGGCCTTCATCTAAGTCCAAGGGACCTTCAGAAAGTTTGTGGGAAAATTCCACCTTTGTCCATGAGCCTGTTCATTTGTCTGTGAACTTTTTGAAACGTCCTGACTCCAGGATTCCCTGTTTGGCCTAGTTAGAGAACCCAGCCTCAAACCATACTCATGGGAACCATCGGGCCAGGCCTAAATGTCAGCGTGACTCTCTCCTCCTACCGAGGCTTAGAGACTTTGAAAGAAGAAAGGGGCATAGGAAGTAAAGATTTAGATGGTTACTGCAATTATTACTGCCTGGGTAGGCTGGAAGGAGTGTGGGGAATTACATGCTGCCGCTGAGGGGAGAAAAGCTGTCTCTGGAGTGGCCTGGAGCAAAAACCAAGCAGGTTAAGCAGTGGATGACTGATAGGGGGGGCCAGATCTTCGGGCTCCACCCTGCCCAGCCACCCAAGGCCATATGCCCATTAATGGAGAGACAGCCCAGAGCTGGGGAAGAGATTAAATTTCAGTGTTTCACTTCCACAGGTATGATGGAAATCAATCATGTGATCATAATTACCCAAAGCTTGTAAGCCTGCATTCGCCTGTGGGATGGAGCAGTTAAGAACTGCCTGGAGACTCCCTTGCCCTCAGCATCACTCTCTCCCCTCGCAGGAGCGAAGCTGCCCTGCACTAAAACTCATGGCCATCCAGTCAATGCGGATGCCCAGGGGCCTGGGTGGGGTGGGGCGAGAAAGCACAGTGTTTCTCGGTGGGAACGCTGACCTTGCCAATGGGAACCCAGTTATGACCACTGCGCCTCCAGTTTAGCAAAACCATGTTTTTTTTTGGTTTGTTTTGCTTTACAAGTGAGCTTTTCCACCAGTGACAGAGCCCTGGTGGCAATTGGGCTGCTAACTGCAAGGTCAGCCATTGGAAACCACCCGCTGCTCCCACGGAGAAAGCCTGGGCTGTCCGCCCCTGTCCAGAGTCACAGTCTTGGAGACTCACAGGGGCCGGTTCACCCTGTGGGAAAGGGTCACTCACTAGGAGCCAGTATTGACGCAATTGCTTTATTTCCCGCCCTCTCCAAACCCAGCTAAGCACCAATCAGAGAACAGGAGCTAAGAGAGGATTAGCGGGACCTTACATCCCTCTGCCTCCACCCTCACCGGGGCTCCACACCCTCACCTGGGTGGCTTGTGTTCTCCAAGTAGGCCCTGTCAGCCTCCAGCCCCATTAAGGACTCACACTGCCTTGGATTCCCCCCAGCATAGTAAGGCGCAGGGCTTTGGGGACCCCAGCTCTGGGTTTCATCACGGCCAGTCACACCACCTCTTGAGCCTCAGTTTCTTCATCTAAAAATGGGTAAACCCGGAGGTGAGAACTCACTGACTTGGGGGCAGCTTCTAGGGAGCCAGACACACAGGGGACTCTGAAAGAATGAACCCTCGCCATCCCAGCTCAGGCTAGGGATGCGTCCCTTCCTGCCTCCCCTTCAACCTTTCCTTCGCTTCTGTCAGCGGTGCCAGTCCCTGGGTCACCGTCGTTAAGAGCATGTACGCCCTTAACACCCACCCCACTCCCCCACCCCGGTAGGGCGCTGGGCAGGGGCTGCAGCCCGCGGAGCTAGAGCGAGGCTGTCTGGGAGGTGCCTGTAGCCTGTGCCCGGTCTGTCCTCCCCTGACCCTTCCGGGCGGCCGGGGAGAGGAAGCCAGGGCGCCCGCCCTTACCGGAGAAGATCCTGCCGTCCCCGGTGAGGAGGGCGGCGCCCACGGGGAAGCGGCTGTAGGGGCAGTAGGCCGACTTCTTGGCCTCGAGGCAGGAGTGCAGCAGCCGCTGGACGTGCTCGGGCTCCAGGGCGCGGGAGGGTGGCGCCTGGGCCATGTCCGCGCGCTCTCCGTCTTGTCTTGTCGCCAGGAGTGGAGCGGAAACTCCGGCTGCCAGTCGGGTTTGCAACCGGGTTTGCGAGCGACCGCAGCTCCTCCCCGGAGGTGTGTCCCCTGCGGCGAGGTCCGAGGGACTCAGGTGTGTGGCCTTCTGGCCTAGCCCGCGGCACCGGGTCAGGGATTGGAGAGGGCCGGAGGGTGCGGCGGTGTCCCAGGGGAAGGGTGTGACTGTGCGGCACCCCAGGGCTCTGGGACCACCCTGGCTGCTGACACACTGGTGGGTGAGTGGCTGCCGGTCTGGGCCAGCTGGGAGGGGTGGGGGCGCAGCTGTGGACACAGACCTCGTTGGGACAAAGGTGAGTGTGCCAACGTGTGGTCTTGGAGTTGGGGGAGTGACTGAAGGTCTGGGGCAATGACCCTGGCGTCCTGAGTCACCCGGCAGGAAGCTCGGCAGGAAGATGTAGGAGATTTGTTCTTTTAACTCCTTTCCCTGACCGCTTGGTGTTCCAATGGTTCTCGACTGAAGACCGCCTCCCAATGAATCTCCCGGGGCTGCCGCCTCTTGTTTGTCGCTGCTAACATGAGTTGGGGGTGCTTGGTGGCTCACCCAAGTGTTCGCAGCCCGACTCTAAGGCTTTCCAGATGGACCACTTTGGCAGGTCACTTGACCACTGAAGCCCACAGTTTTCTCCTCTATTGCCAGGCCTATCTCCTGGGCCAAAGAGACACTGGAGCCTTGGGGTCTGTAGATCCCGGTTTGAGTCGCAGTTCTGCTGTATATTAACACTATGACCGGGACAAATCCCCCCTTACTTCTCAGATCCTCAATCTCCTGATCTATAAAACGGGTTGTCTAACAGTATCTCCTTTCCAGAATCGAGCCATGTCTGCACAGGGAGTGCCGTGACCTCACAGCGTGCGTGCCCTTTGGCTGCAACTGGCTGTGGGTATTGTCATAAGTAGCTTGGCCAAGATCCACAAGGAGGGGCAGGTGCCCATCCAGAGACAAGTCCTCTACTAGGCAGGAGTGCCAGAGCCTTCTGCTTCTGATGGGACTTAGAGTGGGCAGGGGCAATAGGTTTTAAGAAACAGTGTATCAGGCAAGATGGACAGGCGTTGTCAGAGACTTGGAAATCTTGCAATAATTTGGGTGGTGGTGTAAGCCCAGTGCTGCAACCCCTGTGTACAGGAGGGAGAGGCAGGCCGAGGGCAGAAGGTGGTTGGTCACAGAGGCAAGCCCCCCTGAGCTGCCCCAGTGTGGGCGAAGCTTGCATTGCACCCTTTAGATCCCCAACCCCTTTCATTCTGCCAAAGACGGGGTACGGGGTCTGACCCTATTCGTTCCTCTATGGGAGAAAAGAAAAGGCCATTCTACCTGTCATATAAGGTCAGCATGCATCAGACCCCATCCACGGACACACCGACCATCCCCCACAGACCTCCTGCCTGCAGGCACCAAGTGCCCATGACCTTCTACTGCACCTTCCTCTCAGGTTTATACCTTTGGCCTCTGGGCTGGGCTGGGCTGCTGGAGCAGGGCTAGCGGAGAAAGCAGCAGTGTGCTCTTCTGCGTCTTCCCCCTTCACAGGTCCAGGCAGCTCAAAGACCCTCCCCCAAGAAGCCAGAAAAGAAAGCAAGGGAAATCCTGGGCCAACCGGAGTCCCCTCCTCAAGGGCACTGATGAGAAACTTTGGGAGTCCAGCGTAGTCACAGGGAGAAAGCAGTCCTGGTGTCCTGCTGGCTGGCCAGGCCTCTCAGATCTCAGTTAGCGGCCTCGCTCCAACCCCCTGGCCTGCCACAGCCCAGCCCATGCTATAAACTGGACTCTGAGCTCCACAGTGGCCTTGGCCCAATTATGTCCCCGGGCACGTCCAGAGCCCTTTTCCCGCAGGTGGTCCTAGATGGGGATAGTGTCCTTGTAAACCCAGCTCGATGGAGCTTGGGAGGGAGTGGTGGCTTGAAAATGCTTTATAGAGGGGCTTGGGGTGGTCGTTTGGAGAGACGTGGGGGAGGACTTGGAATATTGTTTCAAGTTAAGCTCATACATGATATATTCCCAGCACTTTAAAACCTGCTTTTATATAAAAGAGTTCATTGCCTGGGACAATGACTAATACTGAAGGAGAGTATTTTGAGTGGTGGTTCTCAAGCCTTTAATCCTCCTACCCTATCCCGACTTCCCTTTTTTGAGAAGCCCTACCTGGGCTCTCCGCTAGAGGTCCCTGAATTCAGTCAGTAAACAGGTCCTCGTAGTAACGTCTGGTACCATTTATCTGCACTTTCTGTGCACCAGACACTGTGCCAAATGCATTATTCGAATGATCTCATGCCATCCTCATCACCATGGGAGGAAGGCTCATGAACAGCCTGAGCTGTGGAGATCAAAAGACATCGCATGAGGTAAATCTGCCGCACACACACCTCTTGAGAGTGTGGACGCTCACTGCCATCAACTCAATGCTGACTCAAAGCCACTCCCCGCGTGTTTCTGGTGTTTCTGAGACCGTAACGATTTACGGGAGTAGAAAGCCCAGTCTTTCTCCCAAGGAGCAGCTGGTGGTTTCAAACTCCCGACCATGCAGGTTGCAGCCCAACGTATAATGACTACACCACCAGTGCTCCCTGAGTATTGGAAAACAAGGACGTTGCTTTGAAGACTAAGGTGCGCTTGACCCAAGCAATGGTATGTTCAATTGCCTGGTGATGCAACTGCAAACCAAAACGATGGTGGTTCGAACCCTCCCTGTGGCTCTGGAAGAGAAAACCTGGCCATCTGTTCCTGTAGAGATTATAGCCCAGAAAGCGTCATGGGGGCAGTTCTACCCTATCACATGGGGCCACTATGAGCTGGAATCAACTTGTCTTCCCACAACAACAAGGCAGACACAAATTACCGCCTGTGTCTTGTTATTTGCTGAGACAAGCCACCTTTGGGCTGATGGAGAGCAGAGCCTCGACCCTGGACCTCGACCTGGAGTGTGTTTGCTTCTGGATTCTGGGATCTCCTCCTTCCCAGAACACCCGGGGAGCTGATACCATGGATGACAAGGGCCGCCGAGCTCAGTGTCAGACTGGCCGCTCAACATCCTCCTCCTGTGTCATTTCGCCAGCTGTGGACACAGGCAAGGCGGCACATTGCTCCGTGCCCCTCCTCCTGCCTTATGTGCTAGGGAAACACTGGTTCTCACTTACGCAGCACCGGGATGACGAGAACTTTTTTCTTCACTGGAAGGTTTCCCATTTCTTTTGTTTTAGGCTCTTTCAAGGAGAAGGCCTGGCAGAACTGTCAATCATTGTGTTCCCACCCCCTGACCACAGGCTAGGTTGGCACAGGACTAGCTAATCAGAGACTGGTTTTCTGCTGAGTGAGTGGGAAGGCCAGTTGCTCCCACTGTGGTTGCTAAGCAAGGAGGATGTGACTACTGACAGTTGGCTTTGCTCTCTGTAGAACAGCCGTTCTCAACCTGTGGGTCGCGACCCCTTTGGGGATCAAACGACCGGTTCACAGGGGTCACCCTGTTCATAACAGTAATAAAAATACAGCGATGAAGTAGCAACAAAAATGATTTTATGGTTGGGGGGTCTGTATTAAAGGGTCGTGGCATTAGGAAGGTTGAGAACCACTGCTGTAGAGCATGCCTGCGTGCAAAGTGAAGCCCAATGAGAAGCAGGGTTGAGAGATGGAAGAAACCTTGGTCCTTCGCTGAGTGCCTGGATCCAGCCGTGTCTGAAGGCAGACAACTAGATATCTCTTCTCTTGAGCCAGTACATTCACTTCTTGCTTAAACTTGTTGCATTTCTGTCCATTTTGTGGCATCTATACTAATGCACTCCTTCCTACGATTGTTGTGAAAATTAAGATAAAACGCCTGGAGCTCTTAGCATGATCTGGCACTAGTTAGGGAATCAAGTGTTCGCTCGTATTACAATGAGTACGTGTACCAGGCCCTGTGATTTTAGGACTGCATAGGTTAGTAAAGCAGAGAAGTCAGCAGACCTAGTTCAAAAGACTAACACATCACCAGGTACTAACCCCCATGGCGACACAAGTAAGTAATCATCTGTAGGGAACGGTGGGTCAGGTGGGTTGGGGAAATAGTTCCAAATGACGAGACTGAAAAGAGTCTTTCCAGTGGATGGGTGGATGTTTGTAGAGAATTAGGTGGGTCATGCACTGTTGATGCTTTATCCACCCCTAGGAGGCCACCGCACAGGGCCTCTCCAGCTTTAGTGAGTAGTTAGCTCCTGGACATACTTCTTGGGCACCGGTGTGTGCCTAGGGTAGACCAGAAGTGTCGGGAAGTTAGCATGCACCAGGAGGGCTTAGTATCAACAACACATAAAGCACCCCCGCCAATCACAAGAGAAAGACAAGCCTCCCTTCAGAAAGTAGTCAAAACACCCGTGTGTGAGTCTGGGCAGACTAGAGAAACAAATTCATAAACACACATATGTAGATAAGAAAAAGATTTATATACAAGAGCAATTGAACATGGAGAAAACATCCCAACCCAGTCCAGTCCAAGGCCTTAAGTCTGGTATTAGCCCATACGTCTGATACCAATCTATAACGTCCTCTTCAGACTCATGAAACACATGCAATGAAGTCAAATGCAGGATGATCACAAGCCAGTGGGGAGAAAGTCTTTGGGTCCAGTGGTGGTGTAAGCATCTCGGTGCTGACAGGGGTCTCTCTGTGGCTTCTCGGGCTTCTGAAGTCTGGTTGCGTCCATGTGGCTTGTCTTCTGCAATGTCTCCCAGGGAGTAGCAGAGAGAGCAGTGTCTTCCACTTCCAAGGAGGAAGTACCAGATTTCCCAGAATTCTCAGGGGGAAGGCCAGGCCCACACAGAAGTCTCATTGGCTATCTCCAGATTGACAGCCTAGACTCCACCCTTACACTCTTAATCCTTCAATTGACACCAGATTAGGTGACGACCACAGCTGAATAGCCATTTCATAGAGAGAACAAAAAGGTCTCGGGGAAAGAACTATACAATCTTTCAAGCCTGGCAAGATGAAAAGTAAGGATGTTTGTTTAACTAGAGATTTCATAAACAAAGCTAGCAAAGATTTCAGAACCTGCACCAAGATATTTTCAATGGCTAGAAT